AACCTCCGCCTCCTGGGTTCAGGCAATTCTCCTGCCTCAGCCTCCTGAGTAGCTGGGATTACAGGCACACGCCACCATGCCCAGCTGAATTTTTGTATTTTTAGTAGAGACGGGTTTTCACCATGTTGACCAGGATGGTCTCGATCTCTTGACCTTGTGATCCACCCGCCTCGGCCTCCCAAAGTGCTGGGATTACAGGCATGAGCCACCGCGCCCAGCCCTAATTTTTGTAGGTTTAGTAGAGATGGGGTTTCACCATGTTGGTCAGGCTGGTCTCAAACTCCTGACCTCAGGTGATCCACCTGCTTCGGCCGCCCAAAGTGCTGGGATTACGGGCGTGAGATTATGGGCATGAGATTATGGGCATGAGCCACTTTATGCATATTTAAGCCTTGGAAACACAGGGACTATTTTGTGGGGCTGGCACAAAATTCAGACTGCAGCCTTTTCCCGATGGGTTGACTTACAGAAGGGGCATTTTGGAGGGTCTGTGGCCCTAACCTGGGGAGAGCAGGGAGATCCAGGGGCAATGACAGAGAGGCACAGAGCCACGCATTTCCTGAGAAAGGGAGAGGAGAGAGGCTAAGACCCAGGGATAGTGAAGGAGATGAGCAAGTACAGAAAGAGATCATGAGCTCCTGGGAATCTGAGAGAGACAGGAAAGTGGCGAGGGACAGAGACAGAGCGAGAAGGCAAGGAAGTCAGAAGGGAGGAAGGGCAACCGAAAATGGGCACGAAGAGGCCCAGGCGCAGCAACAGCTGGGGAAATGACAGAGACCGAGCCGGAGATGCAGAAAGATACAGAGAGACCCGGAGAGGGTAGAGAAGGGCTCTCGGGGAGAAAGTGATGGACAGAGAGGAGAGGTGGAGGCCGAGGAGGGAAGGATCCCAATAGAAAAAGACAGAGGGACAGAGAAGGGGACGCAGTCGCAGATGGGAGCACACCCACGGAGGCGAAGGAAGAGCATAAGACCAAGAGAACCACAGCCACGGAAAGCCCGGGAAGCCGTGGCTCGGGCTGGGGCGCACGGGGAGCAGGGCTCGCCCCCTAGGCCCTGCGGGGAGGTGACCCCAGCCGGGAGAAGCGAGTCCCACGAAGCCCGCGCCCGGCTGACGGACGGATGGACAAAGCCGGGGAGAGGCCGGGCGCGGCCAGGGCGGGGCCGGTGCCCGCGGGGACCCGGGCGCAGCGGGGGAAGGAGGGGCGGGCAGGCGGCGAGAAGGGGAAGGAAGCGGAGGTGCCGGGCGGGCGCGGGGCGCTGGCAGGAAGCGGGGAGGGGCGGCGGGGCGGGGGCCTCCGGAAAAACGCCCCGACTTCCTGCCCCGCCAGAGCCAGGAAGCGGGAGCCGGGACCCAGGGCCCGGGATCGCCGAGCCCGACCTCGGGCGCCCCGCCGGTCACCTCTGCGCGGACACCAGGTACTCGGTCCCCGGCCCCGCCCGGCCTCCTCCCCTCGGCTGCTGGGGGAAGTGGGGAGGAGGAGGAAGGGGCTGGGGCGCTGCCGGCAGCGGAGGGGCCCCACGGAGCCAGCGGCCACTCCTCCTTGGGCTTCAGTTTTCCCTCTGTCAAAAGGAGCAGAGTGAGGAGAACTCACACTTGCGGAGTGCCCAGTAGGTAGGGACGAACGGTGCGAGGCCGGGGCCAAGGCCTCCCACCTGCTTAGTGGAGGACTCACGATCACTCCCATTGTACGGGTGGGGAAACCGAGGCCCGGGGAGCCAAACCGACTCGTCCCAGGGAACGCACATCGTGAGACAGTGCGCACTTGGGATTTGAACTCGCACCTGCTTTCCGCAAAGTGCCATCCTCCAACCGCCGCATGCTTTTTAGGGCCACCTAAAAAAGAAAAACAGCAATCACAACAGCGGCGAGGGCCGCTGTGGGGCTGAAAGTTCCAGAGTGCATTTGAAAGAGTTTTCAGAAAGCTCTGTTGTAGGTCTTTAATTATACCGTGGAGACGGGAGTAGTGGAGAGAGCTGGAGACCTTCTCCCGTTATACAGATGGGAAAACTGAGGCCTGCAGAGTCATTATTTTTTGCAGATGACGACACTGCATGTCAGAGGGAAAGGTGTACTGGAACTCAAGACTTTTGCTTTTACAGTTCCAAAGGAAGGGAGATCTGGGGGGACGGAGGGAATTGATGATGCACGAGCGTTGGAAATTCAGCGGGTCCCCGAAGTCGGGAGACTAATAGGACAGGGAGCCCCACTCCGCGGTGCTCAGCGCCAGAGTGACTCAGAGAGCACGGATCGAACTCGGGCGGGGTTGGACTCATCTGTACCTCCGGGCGCGGGGCGGGACCCGGGGAGTGACGGGGGCAGTCGAGATATGGAAACGCCGGCCCTCCAATACAGGCCAGAGCGGCCCTATCTGGCCTGCGTGGCGCAGTGCAGCGCTAGAGCGGCCGGCGGGAGGAGTAGAGTCGCCGGGGCCGGTGCAGGGCAGGAACCCGGCTAGAGCGGCTGGCAGGAGGAGTGGAGCTGGGCGCAAAGGTGGACTCGGGGCGGCTAGAGCGACTCGGCGTCGGGGGTGGGGAGAGCGCGGCGTCGGGGGTGGGGAGAGCGCGGAGCCGGCGCGCAGAGGCTTCGGTTCCGGCGGCGGTGGCGTCTCTCCACCTGGAGCAGGTGAGGGACGCGGTCCTCAGCGGGTGTCAGAGCCTGACTCTACACGTCCTTCCTGGCATCCCTGGCCGTGCACACCGCCACGTCCCCCGTAAGGATTTAGGGCCCGCATGAGACCTGCCACATCCACGTAAGATTTGGGGCGCGTGTAGACCCGCCACTTTCTGTATAGATGACAAAGTCTTACGGACCCTCCACGTTCCTGCTAGCTCTCCATGGAGACCCGGCTTCTCATAGACGTGGGGTCCTCATTAAGTAGCATGCCCTAGAACCCGGGGCTCTGTAGACCATGGGTCTCGGGACCCACCACGCACCCCTATGGAATTCTGAGGCCCTTTTAAGTCTCCAGAGGTTCCACAGGGTGGCAGCTGTCCCTGTAGAATCATGACCCTGCATGAGCCCTGGATCCTTTAGACCCACTGTGTGTCAAATAGAATCTGGGGAGTACACACTCCAAGGACTCCCTTTAGGTTCTTTAAGGCGCCCAGAAGTTCTTGGAGATCCTGAGTCACCTGCTCAGTACCTTATAGATCATGAGCCCTCCATAGAAATCAGGTACCCATGTAGCCCCCAACCCCATGGACCTTCCAAACCAGCCGTAATCCTCCAGCTCCCCAGGCACGTGGTGCTCCCTCTGCTGGATACCCCAGGCCTTGTCAGTTGCCTATAGATCCATCTATTCTCTGACAGTTTCACCTGTAATTCTCCAGCCTTTGTGGGAACCCCCCCAACCCTCTCTCCTAAATAGCCAACACTCCTCACCTCCATCATCTCCAAGCCCCAGGCCTCTGTGGAGCAGCTGTATCCAGCTTGCATTCCTGCCTAGGCCATAGTGACTACATACTCTTGACTTTTTCCAGGTATCAGAAGAAGATATAATTGTCTCAGAGCTTTGGTTCAGATTTTAGTTTCTGAAGGGTAGGGTAGGGGCTCCCCATGCTCTGAACCAATGCTCTCTGTTTTGTTTTATTTTATTTTATTATTAATTTACTTGAGATGGAGTCTCGCTTCTGTCACCAGGCTGGAGTGCAGTGGTGCTATCTCGGCTCATTGTAACCTCTGCCTCAGCCGCCCAAGTAGCTGGGACTACAGGCACGTGCCACCATACCCAGCTAATTTTTGTATTTTTAGTAAAGATGGGGTTTCACTGTGTTGGCCAGCATGGTCTCAATCTTTTGACCTCGTGATCCACCTGCCTCAGCCTCCCAAAGTGGTGGCATTACAGGCGTGAGCCACCCCACCTGGCCTATTTTATTTTAAGACAAGGTTACACTCTGTTGCCCAGGCTGGAGGGCAGTGGTGCAACCTTGGCTCACTGCAACCTCTGCTTCCTGGGCTTAAGTGATCCTCGAATTTTAGCCTCCCAGTTAGCTGGGACTACAGGCATGAGCCACCACACCTGGCTGTTTTTTGTAGCGATGGGGTTTCACCATGTTGGCCAGGGTGATCTCAAACTCCTGAGCTCAAGTGATCCACCTGCCTCAGCCTCCCAAAGTGGTGGCATTACAGGTGTGAGCCACCCCACCTGGCCTATTTTATTTTAAGACAAGGTTACACTCTGTTGCCCAGGCTGGAGGGCAGTGGTGCAACCTTGGCTCACTGCAACCTCTGCTTCCTGGGCTTAAGTGATCCTCGAATTTTAGCCTCCCAGTTAGCTGGGACTACAGGCATGAGCCACCACACCTGGCTGTTTTTTGTAGCGATGGGGTTTCACCATGTTGGCCAGGCTGATCTCAAACTCCTGAGCTCAAGTGATCCACCTGCCTCAGCCTCCCAGAGTGCTGGGAGCCACTGCACCCAC